TACGTTAGGACAAAATCTAAAAATGATGATGACAAATTTCATCGAAATTCTATAGGTATTGTGACATTACTTGTGTAAATGATTATAATTGAAAGAATTTAGTTCGATACCCAATGGACATCCATTGCCATTATCCTTAGTTGTCGATATATTTTGTGATAAAGAAGAACAACGTCCAACAAAAGATTGTAAAGCACATGCGGCTGTTAGTTGACAGAAAAGAAGGGCGCGTGCAGTGAACGCTATGCTATCAATCACTGTAGTACATAATGCCAAGAATGTTAGAAAAAAATCTATCCAATCAGCAAAACGAAACTAGAAGATAAACAAAAAAAAATGCTGCATTCATATTTAATTGATACTGTAGTTACCAATTGAAAATATTGAATGACCGGTTCGGTACCATTGGAATGATTGTCACTATCTAATCGTTTGAACTCGCAACCATTCGTTTTACATTTGAACCATTGATTAATATCGCCCAATCTAGATATACGTACACACTAAAATAAAATGTGCTGCATGTGTCGCACTTTTGATGTGTCACATCTTTGCGTTCTGCACTGCTATATAACATCACCAAGCGTAGAACGCACGAGATGCGACACATAAAAAGTATGATATGAGATGCTCATTGCAACACATGCGCCACATTTTATTTTAGTGTGTACTTCAGTAAAATGTTATGTTTTTTTTTTCTAGACATGCCTTCGACTAAATGACGAATTTTTCTTCTCATTTATATCATCGTTTGAACAAGTATCAGTGGTGACTAATAATGGTTGCGTCTCTGCCATGCTACGTTGTTTGCATGAAGATGGGATATCAAATCGATAGCTTTGTATACATTATACAGAATGAATATACGTTGATTGTATGTTTGACTAATCAAGCGTGAGAAGCATTTTATTTATCTCAATAACAAGCATAGAGAATAAAAGAAATCGAAATCGATAATTTTTTATTTGCATCAAGCGATTTAAACAGACCAATAGCAAACAAGAATCGCTCTTTTCAGTTTCACATGATGATGATTCAATCAGTTTTCTAATTCGTTTTTCTTCTAATTTTTCAATGTGAACCTAAGCTGATATAAAATGATCGAAAAATATTTATTATGCCATCACTTTTTTGCTGATTTTGGACTTACTATCCCTCTTTCCCCACGTCATCACAATAGTTGTTCAACTAGTTTGTTTCATAGTTAATAATACCAGTTGTCTACTGTGTCATTTTTTTTGTCCAAAGCGACGTTACTCATGTGAAAAAAAGGAAAAAAATCAGATTATAATCGATTATAATCATACACCTTTAATCGATTTTTAATCGATTATAATCTCGGAAACAGTTATTATATTATAGTAATCAATTAAAATTGGTTAAGGCTGATTTTCATCGATTAAAGGTGTATGATTATACATATCAAACAATCAAAAAAAATTTTCTAAAAGTCTAATACGTAAGATTGGTATCGTTAGAAAGAGCGCAAAAAACTGAGTATTACCCTAGAATATGAGCGCGGGGTATAGTGTAGTTCCAAGCAAAACTTTTTCAAACAAAATTCCCTACAAGAAGAACTTTTTTATACTTTCTTTAGTTTTTTCTTTCGTTCTGTCGTACGCGTATACACATATATATATATATGCATACATACGACAGAACGAAAAGAAAAATTTCGTGCACATATATTCAGAAGAATGTATAACATTCTTCACGATTATAGTTTATAATTAAAAAAATTATTTAAAAATATAATTATATAATAAAAATTTTATAAATTCCAAATATTAAAATTAGTATTAAAATTTAACAATTTATTAGGTGACTAAAATATTTTTTGTTATCTGAAACGTTCTTTTCTTTAATTCATATTCAAAAATTTTTTTTTAAATTTTTTTTCTTGAAATTCTCATAAGTATATGAGACTCAATTCAATTAGGTAGAAGGAACTTCAGTTTGAAAAACTGAATCAATCTAATCACTGTCCGCTATATCTATTAAATTTGAGCATAAAAGATTATATTCTTGATGAATAAGAGTAGCATATTCAGATTCAGCGTGATCAATTACCCCATTCACGTTCAGATTTCGAAAGGGTACTTCTGATCATAAGCAGAAAATATTTTAACAAAATTTAATGAAAAAATATGTACATAACAGAAAAAAAATGAACTGCTTCGCACTGGATTCGAACCAGCGTCGTGTTATTCCACGCTCTTTAGCCACTCAGCTACATGCGAATTATTCTAATCTGTTCTGTCTTGTACATCGTTCTTGTTTTCTTATTTAAGCCTAATTCCATTGAATCAACATTCAAATACAATATCATTATTTATCATCATGAGATAAGGTCTTCTGACTCACACATATATATTTCATTGAAATCAATTTTTCAATATATCAAAGTCTATCAATTTCAATAAAAAAATCGACATGATAATAATGAATAATAATTATATTTTCATTCTATTATGTTGATTCTTTTTTGATCGAAAAACTTCAAACTATGAAGAAGATAAGCATTGACAAATTATAAACTTTTTAAATGTAAAAGTTTTGAATAATAATTTTCAATATTGGAATGAGACACAAAATTAAATAAGACATAAACGTAACGATGCATCCTGTCTGTTAAAACTGCAGAAACAGTATCAATGCTTTTTGATGGAGGAATGAGCAGTTTTTCTGAGTATTACTAAAAAAATTGAAGTATTAGAATAAAACTCATAATATATTTTTGAGAAACTATAATACAGCTGAAAGAAACTACATATGTAATTTAATACTTAGAAATTGAACAATTGAGTTATTTTATAGAAAACTTTGAAAACTTCAATTTTGTTATTTGAAATATTCTCATTTGATTTTCATCTCTGAACATGTATTTATTCATTTTTACACATGATTATGCTTCTTTCTTGCTCGCTCTCATCTACCAATGCAGGCTATGATTGAAAGAAAAGGCTAATCTTGAATACGAAAAATTGAGCGATAATTTTTTTTTAAATGGATTGCATTTCATCAATAAATTTTATTTTTAAGAATAAAATAACCAAGATCATATTTTATTATAAAAACTGTTTCAAGATAATATCAGCATTGCTTAAGATGATTGTTTTTCTAATAGTTCTCACATCTAACTTAAGTTTGTATTTTTATTATCTTCAAAGTTATTATTTATTTTAATATATTTTCGTGAAACATCTACATTACTTTAGTTTCTTTGAATCAGAATAGCAACGACAAATTTTCAGATATAGCTAGTTCTATCTTATGATTCGCACTTGTCAGAAATATATGCATATATAT